GGAAAGAGATTTGACTTTTCTATCTATCCTTTACCAACTAACTGAATGATGATGACAGGGAACCTATATGTTCCTCCCCCTATTCCCTCAGCCATGGGTCCTCTGCTTCCACTGGGCCCAGGGACATTTCCTCAGCCTCTGGCATCCTGGACAGGCCACAGCGGGTCTTCCCATCACCTGTGACTCTCATCATGTAGGTGGTTGCCCCTTATCTTTCCACCTAATTGGAATCTACCCCTGGAGTCCAGTGAATTTACTAATTATCCCTTCTACATCTTTTATGTCATATCTCTATGTCTTTGCTCATGTTAGGAAAATTGTCCCTCTCTCCCTGTTCACTGATTCCAATAACTAATTCAAAAAATACTTTACTACATTCCTAGTTCAAAATTCCTAGTCCTTTGATTCACCTCTAAAATATCAGTTTTTGAACATGCCAACTAGTGTATTCTGTTTCAACTGTCGACTCACGCATTTCAAACACTACAACACTAATACCATAAAAGAATTAAGAGAATCCCTTAAGAGCTCATTGTCACTGGATAAAACTGGTAACTGGCAAAAGTAGTTAAGATTGATTTTAGAGATTTAGCTTTGTTTTTATGCTCTGAATGATGAGAGTAAAGGGTAACCTTCTCTTTCACACAGAACTGGAAGGTAAAGGTTACTCCATCGTTTGACACTAATGACAGTTTGGGGTATCAAAATAAAGAAGCTGAGGTAGAAAAATATCATGGGGAGACTGAAATGTCTAAGCGTAATAAAATAATGTACAGAAAATAAAATGAAATAGGAATGACATTACAAATTCCTGTTAAGAAAGAATGTCATTGATTGGTGTTTCTTAAATAATTTTGTTAAAAAGAAAAAGATATTCAAATTATTCATGTTTCTTGCATGTTACCAAGATCTTCACTGAGACTACGCAGGAGGAAAAAACTGTCAGGAAATGTATGCTCAGGACAGTCTGTTGTTTTCTCATTAGCTTTTCACTGCTGTTCTTTCACTCCTCTTTGGGTTTTGTCACCGGGCTCACGCTGTCTCACTCTTCTCTCTGTTGGTGGCAATAGTGTCCTCTCTATGATTTCCTCACTTCAATTTTAAAGAAAGTTGAAAAGGTCCCCTTATTCAATTTTTTTTTGTCTTTACCTTGTTGCTGTTTGTGGCTTACTTCTCTCAAGTTGGCTAATAATAAAATACAGTTGACCCTTGAACGACACTGGCTTGAACCGCGAGGGTCCTTTCGTACTCAGATTTCAATAGTAAATACTATAGCTCTACACCATCCAGGGTTGGTTGAATCCACAGATGCAGAACCAGGGATACGGAGGAACCAGGGATAAGGAGGGTCAACTATAAGTTACATGTGGGTCTGCACCTCTAACCCTAGCAGTGTTCAGGGTCAACTGCATTCCAATTTTTAAAAATTGATTTACCAAAAGAGATTCTGAAAATGCTGTTTGAAGAATCTGTCTCTCTTAGGAGAGAATGTTATAGACAATATGTAACTTCATTTTTAAGCAAGTATTCAGAGTGGTTTCATTGCTCAAAGTGAGAGTTCAGAGTAAAGAAATACAGTCACCAATGAGGAGTTAATGTCTTTCAAAGAAAAAAAATCACGCAAAGGATATTCAATAGTTACATCAGTGTGGCAAATGATGCATATTCCACGCACTTCCAGGAAATGCACAATGAACACTCACGCATTAGAGCCTCTGAGAAGGCCTGCATAAAGAAACGTGTTATGTTCGAACAGTACCCCCAAACTTGTCTGACCCCTGAAACTTTTACCCCCAATACCTGTTACCACCTCTTAGAACTATTTCATGGAAAGCTGCCAGAGAAACTTTTGGAGAACTAATTAATAGTTTATTAAATTTAAGAGGCAATTTAAAATTTAGCTACATCCTGATGTATTTCTTCATATTCCTTCTGGAAATTCCTAATACAGTTGAATATATCCATCTAATACTACGGTTGAATACAATTCCTAATTCCTGATTGAATATATCAGCATTGATAGATGCTACAGTGAAAAATAAGTTATTGGACAGTAATGAAAGCAAGCTTGGAACTATTTATCAATGACCACAATAAATTCACAATGATCAGGGTGAAGCCTAGCCCTGCTTTTGCCATTAACTAACAGTGTGACTCTGGAATAGAGATTTAAAGTCTGGGAGCTTTGATTCACTTACATGTAAAGTGGGGCTAGACCTGCTCCATCTACCCAACTGGTACATTCGGAGAACGAAGGGCTCAAGATCAAGACCGAGAAGAATTTCTCATAAACAAGGAAGTTTTATAAAAGCAGAGAAAGTTACAAAAGTATAAAAAAGGAATGTATCTCAAATAGAGACTCAGTTTCCTTACAGATCCACACTAAATGCCATTATGATTTCTGCCTTTCTTGAACTCTGAGTAGAATACTGCCTTATAATCGCTAAAGATCTCATTTTACATAGTCAGAAAACTAATTTTTGTTTAGCCACTAATCATAATAATGTATCACCAATTTTTTTTCAGAAAACGAGGCAAAAATAAGAAATTCAGAAAACTTTGTTTAAAAGAAGAAAAGATTTATTGCAAAGTGGTTTGTGAGTAGTGCGTACCACCTTACTCAAGGCTCTATTACGAACCCATCTGTGGCAACTCTTCATTCCCAGTGAATAAAGACAGTAGGGGTCTATATTCTCTGAGTCCTTCATTAAACTATTGATCCCTTTAGCATTATCCATAATGTTCCAGCAGCTCAGCACGTCAACTTGTGAAGTGCTAGTCTCTCACTCCTTTCAATAACTTGCGCACTTTATGGAGAGGAAGTCATAATGATTTATTTACCTGACACTTTCCAGTCCGGATGTCGTACAGGGCCACTGAACCATGGCGAGCTCCAACTGCTATTCTGTGATTCCGCTCATAATAGCTGACCATGTAGAACCTGGATTGAACATTTGAACAACAAAAAAACAGAAAAAACAGGTGAGATGACCTGCACATCAAAGTGGATAGCAACACATTTCAAAGATTAAAACCAGCTCTGATATATATTTTTAAATAACTCTATGTATATCTGTAATTAATATATTGAGATTTTTCAAAAATGTTTCATTGTAATAATTCTTAAAATCAACTGAAATAAAAATGATGCAGAATACCGCTTAGGCGTGTTAATGATTATTTTCAATAGAAAACAACTTCTTAACTACAAACACCATTGAATTTTGAAACAAGAGATAAGGGTCACATACAAAAAAGATTAAACATGAAAACTCAGTTTTGCTACAGTGACTATTCTGCAAATATTTCTATTTGAACAGAAATAGAAAAGATGAAAAGTCTTATATATTCAATCTAATTATGTTCTCATGGTTTATTACAGTATTAAGGAATGCAAAATACTTTCCAGCAGGACAATCATAAAAAAGCTGCATAAATATTAAGCTTAAACGTTCATATCAATAATTTAGAATGAAATTAGAAAGTTATCCACCAAAAAGTTATCTGGCAAATTCTCTAGAATTTCCACATTTATCAGTTTATCTAAATGATAACTGTGACTATTGGTAGTATAAATAAGCATATTTGGTGATTTGGCATTGCATGAAAATAGGATTTAGGGAGGAGGCCTTGAAGGTTGTAAAAGGTTGATTTATTTTTATTTGTTTACTTTTCTAGATTAATTTTCATGATGATCAAGTATTCGAATTCCTGATCTATGCTTTGTTATGATTTAATGGCCATATGGCTAGAGCCTGGGAAGGTAAGAATAAAAATTATTAGAAGTGTAAATAAGGTATGATTTTATGTCCCCAAAGAGTTTTGAATATGACTTCCCATTATCTAGTCCTATTGTCTCAGTGAGCATTACCCAGATAAATAAGTGGCCTACCCTCAATATTTCTGAGGATATTACATCAATTCTACTACACATTCCTTGCCATTTTTCTCTTTGATTCCCTGCTACTAATCTAAATTTTCTGCTATTATTTTTTTAAAAGACAGGATGGGGAGGCAAAACAAATGACAGAAAAGAAATATCATTTCTCTAATGCTTTCTTGAGATTGATACAGAGTAAAAAAAACTAGTAGGGCATAGGACTCCATTTCTGAAATTCTAGTAAGAGAGGCAGAGAGAGAGAGGGAGAGAGGGAGAGAAGATATTTGTGAGCATTTTGAAACCAGGGACAGTCTGACAAAGCCATTTTGGCATTAACAGACATTATGACATTCATACATATTTTATAAATCTGGAAAACAAGCTATTAAGTGTTTAAACTTTTTGTTTGATACTTATTACCAAGTAATGGATTCAATAATACTTCTGTCCTATCCCTAAGCCTCGCTCAATGAGGCAACTTTTTCCTCTTCAGTGGAAGATGAATGCTTCATTTCTAGTTACATGAAAGATACTACTTTAGGATGTCCTGCTGGTTTTTGCTGTGCTCAGGTATGGGATGTTCTGTTTGCATACAGGTTTGAGGGAAGGAAGGGGAGTGGAGGCTCCTGACACATATGAAGCTTCCTCACTATTAAGTGGTTAGTAAAAAGTTTCTTAAAAGCTTTTCTTGTCTAAAGCATCCTATTACTGTCCTCGGTAGAAAAGGCAGGAATCAGCAATCAGCATTCAAAATGTAATGTTTCCATAGTCAAAAATAAGAGGTTTAGAAGAGTTTAAAAATGTTTACTATTTTGTTATTCAATAATGACAGTGGTCTAAGTATTGGGCATCACTATATATCTATATGTATGCCTATGTCTACATCTACATCTAAACACACAGAAGCCCACACAATTTAAATCCTATTAGAGTAACATGGAATATAATAGCTAACAAATGTTTTAACAAATGTCTATTCTGTGCAGGTTAATAGCCACAGGAAAATAACATTTCCAGAGGTATTTTGTTGTCCACTATTAAACTTTGCACAGACATAACAGCTGTATTGCCCAAACCCTACTGCGAAACATGAATATAATTACCCCTCAAAATAATCCTCTTCAAAACAAACCGTTGGTAAAATACATTTATGTTGACCAAAATTTTACTTAAACTCGAATCTAAAAGTTTTGTTACATTGACCATTTTCTATGCTCTGGATATCAACCTTCTATATCATCCTTCTATATCATCTACAGACACCATTATTTATGGGAGAAAAAAGATCAACTCTATTCTTGGTATCAAATCTTTAGTCTGCCTGAAAGGACCATATATTACAGGTCTGCATTTTTCATTCTTTGCAATTTACTACGAGGCTAATACTCCTAAAATATCTTAAAGAATTCTGGACAGTGAAGGTCTCATGGCATGTTTCTAATCTTTGGATTTCTTGTGAAACTTTTTATTTCTTTAACAGTCTCTCCTTTAACAGAGGAAATCCAAGGTATGTATGCAGTCACTTCCCAAGTATCCACTCTGGGGACTGGCTGCAGTGAGCCTAAGTCTTCTGAGGGTTTCTAGAGCCCACCATGCACCCAGACTACTCTTCCCCTGAAACCAGTTCTCCACTGGGGGTCTGTCAAGATTTAAGGATGGTGAGATACACATTACTTGACCCTACCCCAAAAAGTATCAATGGATTGCAGAGCAGGATCCATCCTAGTTCTTAAGACTATTCTAGTCTAGACCTGATCCCACATGGGGGTCTTGAATTCCTCCAAAATTTGGGGGGAGGGCTCTCAGAGTAAGGGTTCACCTGTGCTGAGCCTTCTGGAAATGGTATCTCAGTCTCTAGTTCACTGCATTGATAACATGCACTTGGGCAGTATTTCTTGGGCAACAACCTGCCACGAATCTTTCTGTTATACTCAAGTTACAACAATGGTTTTCCTCTACTCGGCCCACAACAAGGAAACTGTTAAGTCAGAGGAAACATTACCACTCAAGTATATGAAAGACGAATAAAGTGGAATTGAATAACGTTGCAAAATGTATTTCTTGCTGGGGCTGCGGTGGTCATCAACCAAAAATTTTAAAGTCACTGATCCTGCTTTCATTACTGTCCATGTGCAGCCAGAGTGATCCTTTTCAGCCATAAATCAGATTACCTCTCCTGTGTGTTCACAACCGTCCTTCAAGATCTGGCCCTACGTGATCTGGCCCTGACACCTTTCGGACTTCCTATTCCCTTTGCTCGCTCTGCTCTGGTCATACTGATCTCCTTATGCTTTCGTGAATATTCCAAGAGTGTACCCACTTCGGAGCTTAACGTTTGCTATTCCCTCTGCTTGAAAATCTCATCTGCCTGCTATCTCCAGGGCTTGTGCCCTTGCTTCACTTAGGTCTCTGCCCCAAGGTTATCTTGATAAGGAAGGCTTTTATGGGCCATCCTATTTAATACAGCAGCCTTCCCTCCACTACTCTTGGGTCCAATATCCAATTTTTCTTTATTGTATCTATCATCTCTTTGATATTAAACAATAATTTTTTGTTTATTGCTTGTTTCCCTCCATCAGAGACTTTTTTGTTGAGTGTATGAATACATAAACAGGGTCCAATCAAGCAGCATACAGCAGTACAAAGTTTAATGCTGTAAGAAGTCCAAATCACTATGCTTATCCTTCAGTGACTACTTTATAAACTAGACTAAACATATCAATTTTTAAGACCACTGAATATTTCATAAGGTCTAAAATAATAATTGGTATAAGCAACAAAGGAAATAAAAATTGTCTATAAAAGTTAGGCAGAAATCAAGAAACAGAAAGCAGCCCCATGACCCTTCTAAAAAATGTATTTTCAATTGAGACAAACAATTGCAGATTTACAAAAAGATATCTGTAAAGGCCCTTGAAGTCTGAGTACATTGCATGAGACTGACAGTTGCATAATGGAAATTATTTTAATTATGTCTTGGGGAACTAGAAAAGATTATTTGGTCTGAAACTCAAGAAGGAAAATATAGTCTAAATAATGATACATACAATAAAGTATGTATTTTTGGTATAAATGTTCTGGGAATAACATTATTCTAAGAATTTGCCAGGTATTTATATAGGCACACATAGATTTCACTGAACATGATATCACACAAAACATAATTAAAAGAAATAATCAATTATCGATCATTACTAAATAATAGAATAGGTTATTATATTTCTCCAAAGCATATTTGTGACATCAATTCCTCAGAAGTAACACACAACAGGGTGCCACCCACCCATAACTGGGTGGTTTATGATGTGAAACACAAATGTGTATTGGGTCCACTCCGGGGCGGGATCCTGGAGCAAATCATGTTTCTTAAGAGTTTGCCAAGCACCCAATACCTAAGTCTAAACAACTTTGGTATTCTCTACTTATAGTCTCCCTTGAATTAATGACCTTTTTTATTTTTATTAAAAATGGCCCTCAAATAAGAGAAATTTGTGTGAAACTTAAAAGTCAATTTGGAAAAATATAGGAAGAGGAAACATGCAACTCTCAGCAGAGATATGATTTAGGAGAAAGACAGAAACCTGTAAAATCACTTTCTCAACTATGAGTTTGATAATATGCAATGATTTCAGGATATTAATACTGTATATAGTGTCCTTGAGCATTAAAATACAACACGGAACACTCTTCAACTAATCCAAAATTCATCTCCAGCTAAAATGAACCCATCTAAAATCTAAGGATGTAAGGAATAGAATGTATGGGTCATAAGTACGATTTATAACTAGTTACAAGTCACTAACTACTACTGAGGACAAACTGTGTATCAGGCACTGTCCTGAGAACTGGTATATGTATTTCCAGGAGTAGCTGAGGTATTAGGAGCAATTCTTATCTAGTTGCTTTTACAAATTCTTCATGTTGATTTAAAATGGTTCAAAAACTTTGGACTCTTTGTTTAAAAGGTATTAAGGCAATACGCACTTGTAAAAAACCACCACTAATATGTATTAGTGTATATGTATATGTACATATTAGTGTATATGTAGTATATATGTATA